GTTCCGTCCTACATCCTCACATCCAAGGGTCCAGTGTTCAGATCGGCTCTCTGCTTGCAGCAGGAGAACGTGATCCAGACCATGGAGCTCCGAAACTACTTCTCCCTGTACTGCCTGCACCAGGAGACACAGCTCGTCCATGTCTACCTGCCTCTCACCTCGCACATCCTGGGGGCCTTCGTGAACTCCCAGATCCAAGGGCACAAGGAGGTGAGCCACCTCTGTCCCCGCTCTCACTAACACCATCTTGTTTTCAGCTGCCTGGCCTGTGGCCTGCAGTCAGTGACCTCAAGAATGAAGTTGATACTCATTGGCCTTAACAGTTCCTAGGTGTGCCAGCCTCTTGTGTGGTCAGGATTGTGACATCGAAAACTTGTGAGCAGGATCAGAAAGATGTCAGGAAGTTCATTCCTTTTACAAGAACTCTTGGAGTCAGGGAAAGCATACAGAGTCTCCAAGCCTCACAGTTGAAGAGGTGGTGGGGGTTAGTTTGGCTGGGAACACTGTACCACAGAGGAATTTCCTAGAAACTCCTTGTCAGCTGCCTTTAGGGGTGGCCTCTGGAGCCGCTGGGGGAAGAATGCTTGGGAATACTCTGATGTTGTAATACGAGCAACGAGCACCCAGCCGCCCGCACGGCTAGCTTTACCCGAAATAATTACACGGAAACTGTATTCTCTTAAACACTGCTTGGCCCATTATATCTAGCCTCTTCTCGGCTAACTCTCACACCTGGACTAGCCCATTTCTAATAATGTGTGTAGCACCCCAAGGTGCGCTTACGGGGAAGATTCTAGCCTACGTCCATCCTGGGTCGGAGCTTCATCGTGTCTGCCCCAGAGAGGAGAGCTATCGAGTCTGAGCTCACTTCCTCTTCTTCCCAGCATTCTGTTCTGTTTACTCCACCCACCTATGTTCTAACCTATGAGGGCCAAGCAGTTTCTTTATTTTTTTAACCAATGACCTTCCTCCATCACTCTGAGACATGGAAACCATGGGACGCTTACCTTGTGCAAGTGGCCTGTAGCTCTGGGACCTCCACTGTGCTCACTTTCACCAACTGGGGCTGAGGCAGCACTTCAAAGAGGGTGCCTGTCTAGCTCCTTGGTTGTATGATTTTTTTGGGGGGGGGGTGTAAAACTGATGCCTACTAATGGGATGAGAGCAGCCCAACTAACGATTCATTGAAGTCTATTTGGTGAGTAAAATTAGTTCTTTGGGGACTCTTACAGAGTGGATGCTTATAGACAGCTGTGCTTTCCCTCCTAAATTGCCAACTCCCCAACAACTAAGTTCCTGTTTTAAGCCTTTAAAAATTTTATTCAATATTTATGTTTATGCATGAGTTTATAGGTATCACATGTATGCAGGAGTCCACATAATGTCAGATCCCTTGGAACTGGAGTTACAGGTGGTTATGAGCCACCTGATAGAGGTGCCGGGAACCAAACCCATGTGCTCTGCAAGAGCAGCAAGTGCTCATAACTTCTGAGTCATCTTTCCAGTGTTTCCTGTCCTCCTGTGAGACAGGATCTCACTATGTAATTAGGCCTGGCTGTACTTGAACTCAAAGAGATCTGCCTGCATCTGCTTCTTGGGTGTTGGGATTAAAGGCATCTACCACCATACTCAGGGACATTTTCTTTTCTATCTTTTTTATTGTTGTTGTTCTTTTTATTTTTTGTATGCATATGTGTTGTGTATGTATGAGTGTTTGCATGTGAATTGGCATATATGCACTCATTTGGAGGTCATGGGTTGATGTGGGTAGTCTTCCTATGTGTGTGCATGTGTGTGGAGGTCATGGGTTGATGTGAGCAGTCTTCCTATATGTGTGCATGCGTGTGGGGGTCATGGGTTGATGTGGGCAGTCTTTCTATGTGTGTGCATGCGTGTGGAGATCATGGGTTGATGTGAGTAGCCTTCCTGGATCATTCCCCACCTTATATATTGAGGCAGAGCTGCAGTTTCCTGAACCCAGAGCTCACCTATTCTGCTAAGTTAACTAGCCAGAATGCTGAGGGCATCTTCTGTCTCCCTTCTGTGTAGGTGGTCACATCCACTTGACATTTACTTGGGCATCCAAACTCAGATTTACATGGCGATCACTTTAGCCCTCCTAAGTTTTTGTTTTATATGGCTTTGAGTTTACAGTGGAATCTGGCTTCAAGCACTAATGTCAAAGCAGCAGAGGTGACCACTAACTCAGAAAACATTCAGAGCCAGCGGGAGTTCTGTGTCTGTGTGTGTTCTGTCCTTACCCTGTCAGAATCTTGCTGGTCTATAAACATTGTCCAGCCTTGGGAGGGAGAGACAGCCTATTTGGTTTCAGTCTGGCATGTGTCTAAATGGTGGCTTGCTGCAAGATGGAGTCACCATCTCTGATTAGGATTTGGAGGGCCAGTTTGATCACATCTGCTTTTCCCAGTTACCCAGTTGCTTTGCTGTCATATGGGAGCCTCATCTCCCTCGAGGAGGGCATTTGGTTATCTGTTCTATGTTGGTTACAGGGACTGAATTGAGGTCATTGGGTTGGCAGTAAGCATCTTTACCTGCCAAGCCCTCTTGAAGACCTGGTCTTGAATTTTTGATATTCTGCCTCTACCTCCTACATGTCACACACCTGGCTTATGTGGTACTGGGGAACCAAATCCAGGGACCATGCATGCCAGGCAGATACTCTTGTGACCTGTGTGGTTCTAAGATCTGAAAAATGGCAAAAAGGTACAACTCCCCTAGTTTCTAAATGTTTGCCTGGGTGTCATGGTTATAGTTACTGATAGAACTGTCACTGCTTGGCAGCAGTAATGGGTGATGGGCAGAAGCTATGTTCCTTCCAGCTAGTCCCTGCCATCAGGGAACACACAAAGGTATGCCAGGGGGCATTAACTTGTGAGATTTTGGGGATACATAGTGGCTGGACTGTCCATGTTGTGTGAGAAGTCTCAGTGGTTCAGGCAAAAGTTCTGCTTGGCTAGAGTTCCTAGTACTTGGCCTGTCCAGTAGCTTGCACAGTGTTCAGGCCAGTTGACCTGCACAGTGGATAGTGGGCTCGCCTAGTATACACAAAGCCAGGGTTCCATCCCCAGTACTGCATATGCCAGCTACAGCGCTGCCCAGTACTTGGGTGATGGGGGCAGTAGGATCATCTTCTGTTGTATAGCAGTTACTAGATTTCTTTTTACTTTTTGTATGGGGTGCTGAGGATCAAACTTCTTGTGTATGTTTGGTAATCTCTCAAACCCTGAACTATATCCCAGCCGGTATTGATTTTTAGGTCTCACTGTAGCCCAGGCTAGCCTGGAACTCACAATCCCTCTATCTGAGTCTTTGTGGGGGGGTCAACATTGAGAGAATAAGGGAGATTTGCCTTCACTTTCAGCTCTGGTTGTGGAGCCTGGTATGTGAGGGAATGTAATGTGAGTGCCCTCCTGTCCTTGCCACCAGATGACAGGGCGTGGCCACCCACCTCATCTTCCTTTCTTCCTGTCTTGCAGATGAGCAAGGTTTGGAATGACCTGAAGCCGAAGCTGAGCTGCCTCTTTGCTGGACCTCACAGTGTGCTGACACCACCGCGCTCCCCGCAGGAGGATGGCGTGTGCTCCCACTAGTGGCAAGGCCCACAGCAGAGCTCCCTGTGGCCTCACTAAAACCTCTTTGCAAACAGTGTGTCCCTGGCTGATTTCCTCCAGGCAGCAGCCACTGCCCCGAGCTGCCTGTGGGCTGTGCTGGTGGTCTTTGTGGCGTGGCTCCCTGCTCCTGGACAGGAGGTCTATGTGCCCCCAGCCTGCCCCATGGCCTGTTGATCGGGTCAGTAGTGGGAAATTAGGGTGCATTGGAATGGATTGTTCCCAATGCCCACAGTGTGAAGGGTCACCAAGTGCTGGGGAGCCTAGGGGTTAACCTAGCAGCAAAGAGGTGTGGGGCTGGCCTGCCCTGTGACCTGGCCAGGAGCTGGCCGGTCTCTGAGGATGGGACTGTGATGGCAGATGAGGGCCTGGAAGGTGTATTAGAGGCCAGGCAGGAAGTATGATGCCCAGTGGTTTGGTGCTTTGGAGGAAATGTCTCATTCCAGTGCTGTCTGTGGAGTCCTGGTCCAAGGCCTCTTGAGGTGCACCGTAGATGAGGGCTCAGGGTCCTTTTTTGTGTTAGGTTTTGGAGGGTGGGAGTGAGGAGGGGTTATGGAGGAGCACTGGAGATGGGCATCCCTGTTGGGTGCCCAGGCCTCAGGGTCAAGAGTGTGGGTCACTTCCCCCAGGCTATCAGGCAGCAGGTTCCAGCTGGATGTGAACTGCCTCCTAACCAGCCAGCTCTGCCGCTCCAGTGCATCCCCCCACCCTCCCACCCCCTGCTTTTAGTGCTCTACTCCCCCCAGCCTGGCGGTAGAGCCTGCCTTCTCTCACATAGTCACTCCCCAGCCTGGCTGTGGGTACCTGTCTCCAAATTTGAGGTTCCATCCCCAAGGTGCAAGGGAACCAAGAGTCCCTGCACCCCTCTGGCATCCTGCTGCCCAAGCCTGTGTGCCACACCACAGCCATGCTTGGGGCTGCCAGAAAGATGGGAAGCACAAGCATCGATGGATCTCCCCCCTCCCCCTTTTCCTGGGCCAAGCAGGGGCCCGCTTCAGCCTTAACTGGACAGTCCGGGGCCAGCACAATGGGAGCAAAGGGAGAACACCTTTGGGTGCTTCCTACTCAGTGTTAGCCTGCCTGGCTTAAGAGGCAAGGCAGAGAGGCAGCAGGGCTCCGAGACATTTCTGTGGGGACTTTAAGGGATTAGTCAGGAAGCTGGTGCTGTGGGATTCAGCTCGCTCGATGAATGAAGCACTTTATGGACTGCGGGAATCAGTTACTGCCACACCCAATAAACTGGAAGTGTTTACAGATGGTTTCCATGCTGCCATTTCTCTCCACAAACCGCCATGAACATGGTCAAATGTTCTTAGAGTCTAAGTTTCGGGATGGGCAGTTGCTCCTAGCCTGGCGTTCCCAGTGGGGGAGTGTCATATGAGTTTCCTGGATATAGAAGCATTGCTTCCTCCTGGAGGGAGGCTCCTCAGACTCTGAACATCTGCAAAATTTACAAGTTTGAGAAACCTGAAAAGCACATGGTTCACAAGGTCCCTCCCTGCGGCGGTGCCCACAGTGACAGTTGCTAAGGGAAGTAGATGCTGGCCTGTTGAGCCCCCTGCATAGTGTAGAACTCCAGGGCTGTGGCTCAGTCCTAGCCCATGCTGTGGTCGGCTTTTCTGTGACCTAAGCCCTCGCCCACACTCCTGTAAGTAACCCCACTAAGCTCACTGGCTTACTAGGTCAGGCTCTGTAGAGTCGTTTCTTTGCCAGATGAGCTGAGTTTATTTCCTATTGCTGGGTTAAAATTCTCCAAGAAAAGCAAGCAATGTAGTGGGAATGGGTTTGTTTTAGCTCATGCAGTCTGTCATTTTGGGGGAGGGGGCTCATAGTGTAAGACCAGCTGGGCACATTGCATCCAGAGTGAGGCAAAAAATAGATCACAACATGGATGCCCATGCTCGGCTTGCTTTATTCACTCTCAGTACTGTTCAGGATTCTCTTCCTAGTTCAGCCCATTGGTGGAGTCCAGGTCCTGGTTTGCTGTCCAACTGCTTGGCTTTCACTGGGACAACACTACCCTCTGCCCTTTGAGACCCATGGTTCTAGTGTCTCTCCTGGCACCCTAATGTCCTCAGTTTTCTTTGGATGACTGCTTTTGCCCCCACCAAACATTTCAAAACTTCTAATTTTCCATTCAGATTGATGCTCTTGCATAAAAAGAGTCCTCACCTCAACCTTTGGTTCTGTCCACCCTGTTTGAGGTAGTGGCTGTCTCAGTGCCTGGTGAAATCTCTATTTCTTTCCTCTCCAGTCACCTGTGCCCCCACTTTTCTTGATGCTGTAATCACACAGCAACTTGGAGCAAGCAAGTCTATTTTGGCCTGTGGATCAGTTGGGCTACAGTCCATCCTGGCAGAGAAGGCATAGTGGCAAGAGTATGAGGTGGCTGGTCACATCATCAGGAAGCAGAGAGCAGACAGCAAGTGGGACCTACCTGTTTTTTATTATCTTTTGGGGGGCCCACCACCCAGCTCCCAAATAAATATACACGGAGACTTCTTATTACTTATAAACACCAGCCTTAGCATGGCTTATTTCTAGCCAGCTTTTCTTGAATTACCCCATCTATCTTTTGTCTCCGGGTTTTTTCCTTTTCTTCTGAAATCTTACTTTTACTCTTACTCTGTGGCAGGCTGGGTAGCTAGCACCTTCTCTCTCACTCCTTGATCTCTCTTGCTCTTCTTGCTCTTTTTCTCCTATTTATTCTTTCCTTCCTTTCTCCTGCCAGCCCCACCTTTCCTTTCTACTGCCTTGCTGTTGGCCATTCAGCTCTTCATTAGACCACAGAGTTTCTTTGTAGCTTTGAGCCTGTCCTGGAACTAGCTCTTGTAGATCAGGCTCAAACTCAGAGATCCGCCTGCCTCTGCCTCCCAAGTGCTGGGATTAAAGGCGTGTGCCACCACCCCAATCAGGTGTTTTAAACAGGCAAAGTAAAACAGCTTCACAGGGTTAAAAAATGAAACATAAAAGAATGCAACACATCTCTGCATCATTAAAACAAGTGTTCCACACCATAAACAAATGCAATACACCTTAAAATAATATTCTACAACACCTACCTATAAAACCTTAAGGCCTATCCCACATCTCTTTGACCCCCAGTGATTCAATTACCCCATCAGTGGTCTGCCTCCTAACGATGCCACAACCTTCCAAAACAGGACCAGCCTTCCAAAACAGGACCAGCAGGTGGAGACAAAGTATTCAGGCAGATTAATCTATCAGTGACATTTCACGTTCTAGTAGAAAATACCAGCCCCTCCTCGTGGTGTCCTTGGACCAACAGCTTGTGGCTGTGTAGCAACCTGAATGTGGGTCCATATTAGAATTCATTCACCTCACGCAGAGAGTAGTCGAGGATGGTGTCCTGATCTTGGAACTTGAAGTACCCACAGAACTTCTTCTTCTGAAGCAGGAGTGGGAACCAATAGCTGTCATCGGGCCACATGTCTGCAAAGGGGATCTGGTCGAGTTGGAACCACTGAGGGCGCATTTCTGTCTCAAGCAGGGGATGGAATGGAGGAAGAACATTAATGTTGAACATGGATTTCAGCCGACCTGAGAGACTGCCCTCTGAATGTGTGTGAACACCTGTTTGGAGATTTTGTTTTGTTTGAGACAGGGTCTCACTCTGTAGCCCTGGCTAACCTTGAACGCAGAGATCTGCTACGCATCTGAGTACGTCTGTGTGAGTGAATGAATGAATGCCACGTGTGTAGGTGCCGGAGGAGGCCAGAGAGGAGCTGGGGATAGAGCTGGTCCTCTACTGCCCAGTGTGGGTGCTGGAGACTGAACTTGGGTCCTTTGGAAGACCAGTACGTGTTCTTAACCACCAAGACCTCCAGCTGTTGGCATTTTTTTGGTTGTGGCTGTTACTTGCCAAATATTTTTTACAGGTTTTATATTTATTTTTGACTGCATATATGCATGTATGTCTGTGTGTAGGTGTAGGCATTTGAGTGCAAGTGCCTATAGAAGCCAGAGGCTTTGGATCTCCCCAAAGCTGGTGTTAGTCAGTTGGGAGCCACCTGTTGTGGGTGCTGGGAACCAAACTTGGGTTTTCTGGAAGATCAGTTTGTGATCTTAACTGCTGAACCAGCTTTCCAATGTCTCTCCTCTTTAAACATTTTATAAAAATGATTTTATATGTATGGGTGTTTTGTCTACATTACCATGTGCATGTAGCGCCTACAGAGGCCAGAAGAGGGCATGGGATCTCCTGGAACTGGAGTTATAGGTACTGGGAAATGCTCATGGGTCCTCAGCCATCTCTCCACTCCCTGGAGTTTTTTGAGACAGGACTTCTACACCGTAGCCCAGGCTGGTCTGGAATAAGTAGTGATCCTCCTGCCTCAGCTTCCTGATTGGTTTACAGGGGTGTGGTACCACTATGCTTGCTGTTTTACTTTCATCGATAAAGGGACTTTCTTTGGAGCCCTGGGCGGCCTGGAATTCAGTGTGGAGCCCAGGCTGGTCTTGAACTCATGACAATTCTGCCTGAATTTTCTTGGTGCTGGGATTATGAGTGTGTACTACTGTATCTGGCTTATCTGAGAAAGGAGCCTAGACTAATTTTTTATCTCATCCTCATGACCATCTCGTGGGTTTTTTTTAAATATTTATTTATTTATTATGTATACAATATTCTGTCTGTATGCAGGCCAGAAGAGGGCACCAAACCCCATTACAGATGGTTGTGAGCCACCATGTGGTTGCTGGGAATTGAACTCAGGACCTTTGGAAGAGCAGGCAATGCTCTTAACCTCTGAGCCATTTCTCCAGCCCCCATCTCGTAGTTTTGAAAGGGTTACGTAGCTCAGGCTGGCCTAGAACCCATTCGATAGCCCAATATGCCCTCAGATTCACTCTTTCTGCCTTGGCCTCCCAGATGCTGCAATTATGAACCTACATCACTACACCTGGTTACTTTCTTGTTTGTTTGTTTACTGAGAGCTAATCTCCTGTGTTGAGATTACAGACGTGTAACACCAAACCTGGTTCATGCCACTACTGGGAGTGGAACTCAGGTTCTTATGCTCGGTAGGTAGTCAGGCTTCCTGCCAACTAAGCCACAGCCCAACTATTTTATTATTATTTCTTCTTCTTCCTCCTCCCTCCTTCCTTCTGAGACAAGCTCTCACAATGTGGATCATGGTGGCTTTGAACTCAGAGATACCCCTATCTCTTCCTCTCGAGTGTTGGGATAAAAAGGCGTGTACCAATATGTGTACCATATTTTGTGAAATAAAGAAATGGGCTTGCGAGGCAGTGGTGGCGCATGCCTGAGTTCAAAGTCAGCCTGGTCTACAGAGCCAGTTCCAGAACAGCCAGGGCTACACAGAGAAACCCTGTCTCAAAAAGAAAGGGGGGGGTGGCACTCATATTTGGGTTACAAGGCTGCCTTGCCTATCTCTCCTTAGTTCTGGGAACAAGCAAAGAGGAGGAACGTTGGCAGACTTGGGGCCTACACTTGGCAAGGGCTGACTCCTTTCTCCTAGGCAGGTAAGTGAGACTGGGTGCAGCTCCCTGCCCATGGTTGAAAGGAGGGAGTAGGGCCCAAGGCTCACCGTCACTCTCTGTGGGCGTCCCGTGCACGTGGTCAGTAGAGAAGATATGCACGTCCATCAGCTCGGGGGAACCCACAAACTCAAATGATATGTGGCCCACCTTGTGCAGCGCATCCACTGTCAGGCCACTCTCTTCCTGCAGCTCCCTGCAGCAGATGCGTAAGGAAGAAGTGGCATTAGCTCATGAGCATCCATGCTTACAAGGAACAAAGCCATAGACCCATGGGCCGCATATTCTAGGAGGACATCATGTAGAGGTGTTAATATATCCAATTTAGGAATTAAACTACATAAGGCATGGTATTGCACACCTATAATCCCAGCACTCGGGAAGCTGAAGCAGGAAGATTTGGTCAACTGGAATATGTAGAAAGATACTTTAAAAAATTTAAAAGCTGGGCATGGTGTTATACAACATTAATCCCAGCACTCTGGAAATAAAGATCCAGAGGTGGATCTCTGTGAGTTCAAGGCCAGCCTGGTTTCCAAAGGTGTGTTTCCTCCTCTCCAGGTCTTCATCCCCTGCCAAGCTGGCTCTGTGGTCAGACCTCCCCTTTCCTTACCTCTTAGCCCCGTCTTCAATGGTCTCTCCTTCCTGGACTTTGCCTCCAAAGCCATTCCAGCGGCCAGCACCAAAGCCTCTCTTCTTCATTCCTAGGAGAACTCGCTGAGGCTGAAGCACCAGCACTAGGGTGTAGAGCCTGGAGGTGGCCATGGTCTCCTGGGTCCTGTGAAGAGGGTCAGAAAACTGGGTCTGCTTGGCTTGTGGTCTGTTAGGGTATGCATCAAATGTGAGCAGTAGTGAGTGGTGGCCAGGTGGGAGGGAGATGTGTGTGGGAGAGGTGGAGAATGAGGCTGACTGGTGATTCCCCGGCCACAACGGAAATTCCCTGTGGCTTCCAGGGCAGGTGATGGCAAATATGTCTTTGAGCCCTCCCTTCCCCATTTTTTTTTTTTTCAGTGCAGGGAATGGAACTCAAAACTTTGAGCATGCTAGGCAGGTACTCTACCATTGAGCCACACCCCAGCCCTGGGGGATTCTAGGCAGGGGCTCTACCACTGAGCCACACGCCAGCCCTGGGGGATTCTAGGCAGGGGCTCTACCACTGAGCCACACCCCAACCCCTCATTGGGGGATTCTAGGCAGGGGCTCTACCACTGAGCCACACCCCAGCCCCTCACTGGGGGATTCTAGGCAGGTG